AGATAGATAGATAGATAGATAGATAGATAGATAGATAGATAGATAGATAGATAAAATGTAAGATATATTTGTTTTTCATTTATTTATAGCATATATTATGACGCTCAACTTTCAGAATTAGATATGTAAACACTGAAATATGAATAAGTGTTAAATAAATAGGTGCTCCCTCCCAGGCTAAACAAACGATCACTTCCGGGTTGCGTCATAAAGCTTTAACCAATCAGCGAAGTGAGGATTATCAGCAGCTTTACAGCAGAGGATTTGTTTATATTTATTTAGATTAACTTTGACTTAGCATTCATATTACATCATTTATATTAATACATTATATTCATTTTATTCATATACTGTTAGCTCGATTAAATTAGCATTCTGAACCAAACACCTGCCACAAACAGCTAAATAAAGACTTAAACAGTTTATTAAACCATAAATGTTCAGGTTTTATCACCTTCTGAAGCGCGGCTCCTCCAGCTTTACTCGTTTCTATCAGCGTGTTGTCCAAATCAAAGAAAACAGCTTTCACCGCTCTGCCGTCCATCCCCAAAGCGGAGCTTCCACGGGGCAAGAATCTGAACTGCGGAAGRGCTGCCGGGCGAGGGGCATGATGGGAAATTGAGTTCTGAGGAGACAATTCGCGCTTGTGGCTTTTATCCTCAAGATGGCGCCACAAACCAACTCCCATATGAAGGTAAAGCGGTTTATTTGTAATATAATTATATTTACAAGCATACTTTTAAAATTAAAGATAGTTTAAACAGAAAATAAATAAAAATAACAGTTTTAGGATGGCTGCCGCCTGATTCAAGATGGCTGCCAAAGCTAACTAGCTAATTGACCATAAAAACACATGACTGTAAGTCAGTCACTTTTAWACAGCTAATATTTGGTGTGGTCGTAGCTGAGAGTCATTCCCAACACATTTTCTAAATGCTAACAGGTTATTCAAGATCTTTGTTGAAAATGTTGAAGTTTACTTGATTTGTCTGTTCGCACAATATTTCCTGAAACATTAGTCAAATTTAAATGAAACTTTCAGGAAATAATTACTGGGTGGACATCTACAACTGATTAACGTTTGGAGGCGAAATGAGTCAAAATGGCTGTCACCGCTCACTCAATGTAGAAAACACAAAACTGCTTTAAAATCAGATGGATTTACAAATATCGTACTAAAAATTGAAATAGTGGTAGCTAAGAGTAATCCACCAGAGCATTATGTCTTAGCCTTATWTTAAACACTCCATTCTCTCTCTTCTTCCACTTACTATTATTATTATTATTATTTGTAGAATTTTATCTTATTCTGTCAGTGGAGCAGAAACTGAACTATTTTTAGAAACATGATGAAGATGGAGCTGATCTGTAAACAGTAGCCTCACTTTTCTAAACAAACGTCCTACGTGACTCCTCGCCCCGCAGATTGCCAGTCTAAACACATATTCCGTGACACGCCGCCTTTCAAAAATAAAAACATTCCTCACATCTTATGCAACCTTTAACTCAAGCTCCCATCTGGCWGCAGGCCAGAGGTTCACACGCAACGCCGTGCAGGACTGTTGCAACCAATCAGACTTCACAACAAGCCTCTCTCACATGACCTGGGCGACCTGAGCTCTGTGCAGGTGCTCCGCTGTGAAAAAACTGGAGCAAACACCAAAGATAGGTTATAACCCAGGTGAGAAGCTTCACCTGTTACCTGCATGTAAACGAAATGATAGAAAATGACAGACTGCAGCAGATAAACCTTTTTTATTATTGTTAAATTACCTGTTTTGATAAAAGTGAAGCACTGGATAGATGAAAAGCTAACGTGAGGGTAAAGATGGAAATCCCCATCATGTGAGGAGCAGGGGAAATGAGTAAAAATACTTCCTTTTACTAGTAGAATTCCCAGAAAGTCCAAAGTTCTGAAGGAACCGTGAGTCTGAAAGTCCTCGTCTGCATTCCTGTTTGTGATCTGTGTGGGTGGCCTCAGGTCCATCACACACCATCCATCAGCTGGGCATGAATCCTGACAGACACATACTGATGATGTCATCGCTTCATCAAAAATCCACTACGTGCGCATCGTAGCAGCTTACAGGTTACTGACACAATACTTACTGGTATACAGTACCTGGTACTTACTGGTATACCTGGTACTTATTGGTATCCTTGGTATTAATGGGTATGTAGCTGGTACTTATTGGTATACCTGGTACTTAATGGGTATGTAGATGGTACTTATTGGGTATGTAGCTGGTACTTATTGGTATACCTGGTACTTAATGGGTATGTAGATGGTACTTATTGGTATACCTGGTACTTAATGGGCATTTAGCTAGTACTTTATGGGTATGTAGCTGTACTTATTAAGTAGCTGGTACTTATTGAGTAAGTAGCTGGTACTTACTGGTATACTTGGTATTAATGGGTATGTAGCTGGTACTTATTGGTATACCTGGTACTTAATGGGTATGTAGATGGTACTTATTGGTATACCTGGTACTTAATGGGCATTTAGCTAGTACTTTATGGGTA